GAATAAAGAAGGCAGAATAAAAAAAATAATGCAGTGTTTAAACATGTTTTCCAAAACAAATAAAGAGGAAAAAACCCTCCTGGTGCTGAAAAGATTTTTCCATTGAATAAGCAAATTGAAGGAATCCAAGCATAGGAAAACAAAGAGTCAGTTTGTAGAAAATATTATGCACTTGCTCACAGGCAGAAACAACACCAAACACATGTTATAAACAAAACTCAAAGACAGCAAGAGAAGCAGAATCCTAAACAGGTTCTTCTTATTGTCATAACCATCTGATGGTAATTTAAATGTTTACTTGAGGAACAAGAAGCTTTATGTTTAACATTTTCTAACAATAAAATAGCAGTTTTACAGTAAGTGACTGAATTTTCCTCCCTCCTTCTCATTTTCTTGCTGTTTCCAGGAGTCTCCCCCTTCTCACTTAACTTTAACACCTCTGTAAAACTGCCTAATGACACTGTGGAACAGGAGCCTGATGACAATGGAGGCTGTGTGAGAAAGTAGATGTTACTGGCCAAAAACTTCAGCTGCATAGTCAGCAGAAACAATTTCCACAGGAGAATGTGGGAGGTGTTGCTGAGGCCGACACTGACCGTATGAAACCAGAACTTGACGATCGGAGCATTGTAGAACTCATATATCTTTCGTCCCATGGGGATAAGACGGTGGCGGCTCTGAACCTCCTCAACATCCTTCTTTCTGGATGTCTCTGTGGTTACCTTACCCAACATTGCCTGGGTGAATGCGGAGCCCACACGGAGCGAGAGAGGGACGAGGGAGGGGAAAGTGTGAGGATTTCAGGAAAGATGAGTGTGGGAAGGAGGGGAGTGAGGTGGATGGAAATGAAGAGAAGATGCAAAAAAGAGAATAGAGAGGAGGAGGAGTTTTTGGAAGAGAGGAGGTGGAAAAAGTAGGGGTTGGATAAAAGAAAAAAAAAGGGTGGAGAAGAGGGTTATATCATGAGCAACAGCAGTTTTTTTTCTTTTTTCATATCGCAATTAAAGAAGCAAGCGCAGGCAATGCTGTCATTCCAAAATGTGAAATGTCTGTGTGAGGTGGAGTCCGAGTGAAGGCTGGCATAGTAACACGGTATGACAAGGACACAGACACTCATGGATTGTGTCTCAGACAACAATTAGGAGGCAGGAGACAGACAAAGAGATAGAGACAGGAAGAGGACAGAGTGAGAAGAGGAAAAAGATCAGACATAGATATCTCATATAGATCTGTGACACATTTTTATCCATGAGAGAGGGTTCAGAGCCCACTGTTTTTTAATGGGTCATGGTCTTAATGTAAAAGCAACACCATTTCTCTGAGGGAGCTTATCCACAAAACTTTGCTCTAAGTGTAAAGGCAACTCTTAGTAATCAGAAGTTTACATACAACCTGTACAGATATGAATGCCATAGTATTTCAAAACGTTTAATGATTTATTCTAAAAGGTACATTTGTATGGATGTTGACACTCAATGTAAAAAAAAAAATTAAAAGTATAAATTTAATATAGATTTTGTTTATTTAAAAATGAGGGGAACAAGATTAAATATGGGCTCAAAATGACAAATCCAGAAATATTTGTTTGTGTCCATTAGGACGTTGCTAAACCACTGTCATTAAGCTATTAACTGTCTACTGGAAAAATTCTCTAATGCTTCTCTACTTTTATCGAAACGTAAGAATTTCGAGAGTACCAGTGTAATTGGTTGTGAAAACCACCATCAACATAATACTGTCGTCATAATGGCTGACAGGAGATACTGTGTTCTAAAATACTCATACTGTAATGTTCTATCTCTGCATGTCTTCATGCATACGATAACAGTAGATGTAACTGATGTTGGCTGCCACAGCAGTTATACGTTTGTTTGGGAATGTATCAGATCCACTTTAATTTTCCTATGTCTGCCCTGCTCTTTGACTAATCTGGTCTTTAGAAAAGTTTTCCTGCATTGTCATCAGAAATATACTTGATCCCTATATATGAAGGATGATGGGGGAGGGAAAGCCCTCATGCTGCAGGTCCACGCAGCCAGTTTAAGTACCACTATGACTGTAGAACTTATGTTCAGCAGATATTGGTCTGTCCATTAGGTAAGCTTTAAATTTCAGTAATACTTCAAGGTACATATTTGGAAGCAAGACGTTTTAGTAACCAGAAACCATTGTACGGGTTGCAAATATCTGTGTCAAAGCATGCTGTATTAATAGTAAAAAGTCAGTTGTTGCCTTTGACACACATTGCATGTGGAAAGCTGAAATTCGCTCAGACTGGACAGTTTTGTTATTAGTGTTTGCACACAGAGTGCACAGTAAGCCCCAAGCCATATCCACAGTAATCCACAGTGTAGATTAGCTGGCACATAATTTTATTCAGGGCTGCATGATGGAGTTTGTAGCATTGCTGTCTTGTAGCAATAAGGTCCTGGGTTCTATTCCTAGCCTTAGAATGTTCTGCATATAATCTGTATGTTCTCCTGGTGCAGGCGTAGGTTTTCTCCAGTTTGGCTTACTCCCACAGTCCATTACTTTCTGGTTGATTAGAGTCTCTAAACTGCCCTTGGCTGTAAATGTGTGTGCATGGTTGAATGTCTCTGGGCTTTGGTGGACCGACCTGTCCAGGGTTTAACATGCCTTAAGCTTATTGAGTCCTGGAGACAGGCACCAGCCCCCCATAACCATGACAGATGAGCGGAAGATAGAGGGATGGATGGAAATCAAACTCACTTTATTTTAGACAGGGATATCTGTTGTTAATGGGTTATCATACTGTAAAAACACAACAAGGGAGCATATTACTATTGTCTGTTTGAGAACCATGGTCTTAACCTTTGAGGAGCTGACAATCATCTGGCCTGGAGTTCCAGGGCAGGTTGTGGGTTATTGGATGACCTTCACATATATAACAAAAGTGAGATATTGAGGATCCCAATTAGCCTCTTGAGACCATCCTGATCTCGCGAGCTTTCAAGATTTAACTCGCTAATCAGTCTGGAGACTCTCCGTAGAAGAAAATTTGGAGCCGTTCACCAAACGAACGTCCAATCAGCGTTGGCTTTGAGGCGGGTTGAGGTGTGACGCAACGAGAAGCCCGACAGTTCAGTCTAAAGAACATGGCGGCTTCAGCTGATGAAACTAGCGCTAGCGTGGCTATCGAGCAAGTTTTGTTGGAATTACAGAGTATTTCTTCACTGAAACAAGAGTAAAACACTGCTCTGGAGGCTTTTCTCAGAGGAAAATATGTTTTTGCTCTTCTCCCGACTGGTTTCGGCAAGAGTAGCCTGGCTGTACGTCATATGCTTCGTTGATCTGATTGGTTTATTTGGCCCGTCTATCACCAACATAGGCCAATCAGCTAACCAGTATTTTCGCCCCTTCCCAAAATTACTTCAACCGAAGGTTTCCAGATGGATATGCGGAGCAAATCCATCTGGCGGAGTCAGGTTAGATCCCAATGCAGACAAATCCCTGTCAACGACTACACCTCGAGATGGACTGCAGCAAATACTTCAGCATTTGGTAATTAAAGATCTGCATTATCCATAAAAGCATCCCTGGCCCCCACTATACTCTCAGCTCCCCTCAAAACTTGGACATCTGCTTTGTCAAAATCCAACAAACTCAGGAACGCACTCCTATTACAACTTCCCTGTTATTTCCTGAACATAAGAAACAATATCTTGTTGTTAAGGTGACAGTTTGTGTCAGAATGTTGAAATTTGGACGAAAAAAGTGCTAAAAAGATTTAACGTTGAGGCTAACTGTGACTTTAAAACCTATGTAAAAACCTATGGACTATAACAAAAGATTTGATTCATGCCAGGCCTGTTACCAAATGAGCCAAAGCTATTCCACTTCTTATTCTTTACTTAATACCAGGGGGTTATCAATGCCTTAAGCTTGTGGTATGTTTACAACCTCTGTAGAAATTTGTATTGAAATATTACAGTAGGTATATATATATAGAATAAATAAAATGTGCACATTTGAGCCTGTGCATGTAGTTCAACCCTGAGAGGAAACAGTCAATGCCCTTGACAAAGAATAATTTAAATGCATTTTTAAACTCTTGAAAATATTATGACATTCATGCTGACAATGAGTTTGTTGGAGACTTTAAACCAAAAGTTTATGTTTGAGAGCTGACCCTAGTTTTCAACATATTGTGTAAGAGCTTAAACAAATCAGAAAGTTATTGAGGAATCAGCCTAAAATCAAAGAACATGTGCCTACATGTTTGTACGTAGTGACATTTTTCTCCCAAATGTGTGAAACACTGTTCTATTCCAGGCACACTCCCACTGGAATTTTGACAGAAACAGATACAAGTGCCAGTGTGTAAATCACACCATGCCTTTTCAGCAACCAACATGCTCATTACTCATTCAGTATGTCACACAGGCTTTTAACTTCATTACAGGGTGATTTATCAAAACTATCTGAGGATACAGGAATACAATCTCCCTCTGTGGTGTAGCAGTTGGTGTATGAATCTGTCTGCGATTCATAAGAATCTGAGGGTGTGTTTGAGCAGTCAGAAGCCAGGGCAACAAAAGGAAATCATTACAAATGTATTATCTGGCAACATTTTGGTTTTGTTTTGTTCAATACCAAAGAGTCTTAGGGCTTTAAGTAGGTCTAACAAGCCCATTTTGTGAGCATTTGCACTGGCTTGCTGGCTGCCTTAGCTGTATGCAGATGGAAAGTATGTAGAGCGGTGCTGAAGATGAACAATTTCCGTTTAGTCACATCTCAAAATGATGACTTGATCCAGTTTGGGGATTTGAAACTGCTTTTCAAATCCCGAGTCATCTTTTGGAGGAAAACACAAACTGGTTCAGGGAATCATCACCAGACGAACTGAAACAGAACGGATCCTATTCCTGCTGTACATCCATGTCTGTGCAGATGGACCAACTCTTCCACTGTGAGCTGGGAGAATGCGCTCAGACTCTGCATGATTAAAGCCCTGCGGTATCTGGCAGACACAGTTATATAATGCAAAAGCCTGGGCCTCCCATGCTCAGCAGCTGACATGCTGAGTGGTGTGCTGCAGCAAACCATCACTGATGGGAGAGAGTGAGGGGCAGCAATCGGCTGGCATACAGTACTGTACCTCAATCAGACCTAAGTTTGAAGGGGGAAAAAAGAAGATATAGAGAGGAAGAGCGAGAGAGAAGGAGTATTTGCAGGATATAAGGGAGAAATAAAGAGAGAAACAAAGAGAAAGCTTGGAAAATAACAAGAGGGCAGAAAGGAAGAGAAGGATAGGGGAGGAAAACATGAGGGAACCCACATTCGGCGACAGACTGAGACGCTACAACTCCACACCAAGTCTTTGGTAAGACAACGAGGAACAGGAAAGGCTGATTTTTACTGGAACTTTTCAGATGCCCAGAATAGAGAAACATTAAGTGTGTGGGGAGCACTGTGTGCATGTGCATGTTCCTTTCTCATCGTGGACAATGAGAACAAAAATGGGTCCATAAGAGATATTTAGAAGGGCCCACTGAATGTGGACGGTGATCAGTAATAGACCAAAACAAAGTGTGTATGTATATCTGTGTATTGTCTTGTTTGAATATGTGTATAATTTCTGTGATGCGGGGCTGAGGTGGGTTCTCTCACCACGGAGTTGTACTGCGTCTCACAGTAAGATCTTACTGTGAACTCCATGTCCTCCTCCTCTTTTTCCTTGACCGGCTTCTCAGGCTCCTCCTCTTCTTTCTCCTGCAGGTAAGTGTCCTGATCTTGTGGCATGTAGGACATCTCATCCTTGTTTTTAAACTCCAGACTAAGGATGGAGGGTGGAAGAAGCAGACCTAAGATGACCTGATTGATGAGGGAAAAGTAAAAAAAAGGTTGGAATGAAAGAACTTGATTTCATAACAGCAACAGTGACAAACTTTTGAAAAGTTTTAATGCATTTAAATGTAATACGTTTTATGTAACCAAACAAGAAAAGAAATGCAATATTTATGAAACATATGATGCTCATATGTCCTGAGGTTAATACTTTGTGTACTAACTTTGTGAAACCACTTTTTATCTTTACCAGCATTGCATAAATTATTGACAAAATACATATAACTTAATAGACAGAATGACAACTTTTTTAAAAGACTTTTAATATCTTACCATAGATCCTTAATTGGATGTAGGTCTGAACTTTGACATTCTAATGTGCCTTGATATAAACTATTGTCATTTTTGCTTTTTTCTTTTTGGCAGAACGTCAAGTCTTTGCAACCTCAGAATTATTTTTCAGCTATGGACTGTACTGTGTTAAACAGACGGCCTGTTTAGCATAATCCATCCTTTAATCTATTACGCTGAAAAAAAAAATGCAACCATTTTTTGGCATTCACATAATCATATTTAGTTACTTTAACACAATTGTTTCATGTTAACAGAGTAGGGCATAAAACAATTGTGTTAAAGTAGCTAATTATGATTAAGTAAATGCCAAAAGCAGTTGCTTTGTTTTTTCAGTGCTTCTGTACACCTGCAAAAGAAAAGCACCTTTAGAAAACCATCATGTTTCACCATGGGTGTTGTGTTTTTAGGACAATCTGCAGTTGTTTGCTTTCCAATATGCATATCCTTTTGTATTTTTTTTTACAGAAAATCTGTTTAAGTAGAACACACTCTTCCTCATCTTTTTTTGTGTTGCCTTTATTATTTGTTGCTAACTTTGAACATGGTTACTTATGGTTTTCTTTTAACATTTCCTTGTTTTCTCGTGTATCTCCCATTAAGGCTTCTGAAGTTCATGACTACAAGATTTGCTTTTGACAGATTTCCTACCTCATTTGTAAATGCACCTGTCAATTTCAATTTTACATTTTTTTTAATAATAAAACAAACAAAAAATTTATTAACTTAACCCAGTGTTGTTTTTGACACTCATCTTAGTCTTAAGGATGAAAACTATTATTAGTCTTAGTTGCATTTTAGTCATTACAATATGTGATAGTTTTAGTCAGTTTTATTCGACTAAAACTTAAAAATGTTTAAGTCTAGTTTTATGTTGCAAAAAGAAAAGGGTAACTTTTAAAACTTCGAATAATAACCGGATTCCTTATCAGACTGACAGCTTTCGCCTAGATACAACAATTGCTGGGTACAGAATGCTGCTGTGCAGTTCATCATTGTTGTTGGGCAGAAAACTTTGATTTATAGAATTCAAATAAACTTTTTTTATGAATTAATGCCCTACTTTAAAAATAAGTGTCTCACAAGTTGTGAAAATAGCAGATCTAGTTCAACACATCATATTGATTAATATAGCAGACAGAAAAGGTAAGAAAATGTACAATAAAGAAATGGTTTTAGACAATTATGCATTATACACAGATCAATAAAATCTCCATTGCTCCAAAAAAGCAATGAACAAAAACATTTTTCTTTTTACTTTGACAATTTTGGCTATTGCAGGCTAACAAACAACCTAACGACTGCCCATTCCTAAGGGGCGGACCTGTTCGTCCGGTTCAATTTGCACGTTTTCTAAGCCAAAACAAGGCTTTGTTTTTGGTCCACTCTATAAAAGCCTTGAACTCAACACTATTTCTGACATTTTTAATTGAAAAAGTCCGGTGGATTGTTTTTAAATTTTTTTGGAATGACTATAACTGTCATGATCTGGCCTGTTTGCTCTCCCTTAATTAGTAATTCCTCTCACCTGCCCTCTTCCTTCCCTGCCTCAATCATAATTTATTCCTCTCACCGGTTTCCTCTGGTTTATATTCAGTTCAGCCTGAGCATTCAGTGCCAGATCATTGCTTGTCTTTTTGTTAGTCTGTCCAGTTTTATTTGGTTCATGTCCTGGATCCTAGCTGCCAGTGGATAGAGGGTTTTAGTGTTTGTCTCGTCTCCTGATCGTCCACTGTTCCTCCCCCGCGGAGTCCTTTTTGGCTCATTATGGGGGGGGGGGGGGGGGGGTTTAGGTTTTATCAAAGTAAGCCTGGCTCCAGGGAGGAGACCAGTTTAAAGTCCAGCTTCAAGTTCCGGTTCCTACGTCCTGTCTCGGCTACCCTCTTCCACTGAGCCTGCCTGTCTGCACCTGATCCTGTCTGCTCCTGTGTGTGACCACCTGGTCATGCTTCTGGTCCCAGTCTGACTCTGAACCCTCCTGGAAGTCTGTGGATGCCTGGAAGTCTGGATCCTGCCACCTGTTTCTGTTCCTGTCTGTTCTGGATCCCTCACCAGGATCAGCTTCCAGCATAACCTCTGGGACTGCAGCACTGGGGACACTCGTGGTCTGGACTGTTAAACCAGGTAAGTGACCTTCACAGATAATCTATCAGTTGATCGTGGTCACTTACCTGTGTTTCTCCCCCAGAGTGTCTGAGATTGGGCGGTGCCCCGCCCCCCCGCCTGCAGTGTCCGCGAGCCACAGCTCCGCTTTTGTTTGGTTTTAATTTTAATAAACCTTATGAACTTTCCTACTGACTGTCTCTCCTGAATACTGGGTCCATCTGTCCTCGGTTCATGACAATAACTTGGATGACTTAGAATCTTCACCATCACAATGCATATTGATCGTCTGTCCGACCACCTGCAAATTTGTATTTTGTCTCATCTTGTCAATAAAAACTCAAACCCATGACTAATCACATTTTCATAATCAAAGATCCATATTTAGCTAGTCAGTTTTCATTATCGTCATGAAAAAAAGGAGCGTAAATGGAATTTCGTAATCACCATCGTTGACGAAAACAACACCTTGCATTTAGCAAACATATCCTGCCCACTGTTGGTCTTTCCCAAAAAATTGCAATAAAATACATTGAAGGTTGTTGTTTTAATAAGAAAAAATGTCAAGGTAATCACTGGTTGGATTTGGACATGGTGAAAAAATATGTAAACAAGACAACAGTCATTTCATTGAAAGTCAGCATTGTAAAGATTATTTTCATCATGCACATGCCTGCCTGCAGCTGTGTAGCAAACCTTTGTTATCAACTGGTCAAAGGCACTCTCATAGAGAAAGTCAATTATAAAAGCCTGATTTCAAACAGCCAGGATGATTACTGTTCTACATCAGCCCCCGAGAGAAACACCAGCATTAGTGAGAAGAGGCACAAATCCTGCTTCTTTTGTTTAAAGACAAGAACAACACATGTTCAGTAAGGAGAGTGTAGATTATGGGAAGAAGAAGGTGAATACAAACATAATCAAGTTCCCTTTTTCTATCTGCTACCAGCTGTAAACACCTGTATACATTTTTGAGTATTTAGCTTTTGCCACATTCAAAATCTTTTATCCAGTTAATGACATATTAGTATAACAGATAAAAAAAAAGAATATAGACAGGTATCTTTGAAACTATAATTTTTTTTATTTTGCATTTGCACTTTTTTTTCCAATTAAAGGGTTAAAGCAAATATCCTATCAGACCTATTCTAGTGTAAAGAAAGATGTTTGCTAATTATTTTAAGTCACAGTCCATTTAGAGACTCCTATTCTGAGTGGGGGGTTGAGGACAGCTGTCCTTTCAGGCAAAATAGCTAAATCACATGCAGAGTTGGTTTTTTTGACAATGTTTTCACATTCTTATTTCATCATAAATTCCTAGGGGCATTAAACCCTGTTTGTTCAACTTGTGGTTTATTTCAGTTTGTCTTTCAGCTCCGATGAGTTTGTCTTAGAAGTGCGCGCTTCACCTTCCTCCAGCAAAGGCCAAACAATATTTACTGAACTGCAAAGTCTGTCCTACTCTGGAGAAAAAGCAGGCAGAGCGACCCATTCTATAGTCTCACTTAATTTGTCATGTGGATGAGTGTGAACCCACACTTCAGCAAATCCTGAGGCAATTATTCATCATAAATAGCTGTAACCTTTATGGTTCGAGGCTGCCATGTGTCACCCTAACACCAAACATCTGCAGAACTCACACAAGCAAATATTGGTCCAAACTTAACCACTGCTTTTCGATTAAACCTCTAAGACATTCACCACATTAGCATTAATGGAGTGTGATAGGATGTTCTTCTTATAATTAAGGTCAAGCCATTCATGTACTCTGACTTACAGACTTAAACAAAGTGCTTAAATGCAAGACGACTCAATCTGGTCACACTGTTTAAGTGTTATCTACTGATAAGAATCTTTCCTCTGCCTGAGCCCTTCCGGAAATTCATAACAGCTTAACTGCTTTTATAATATGCATTTAGTATAAAATTTATTTAAACCTTTGCTTGTGATATATCTATAAAATTAAAAATACTATGAAAGTAACTGGGAACTGGTTATTTTATTTTATTTTCAATCAGTTTCCTATTATGAAACCCTCTAACTGAACCTTAGTTTGCAAAATGTCCCAATGCTCTGTGCACAAAAGTAAACCCGCACGTCTAGTGGAGTGGAATTTAAAGAAGTAAGAATTACTGGGAAAAGAAATCCTAAAGGAATACCTTACTTAGCCCAACACACATCAGCTCTGCACTCAGCTCAGCACTGTACCATATTCATAATCAGAATCAATAATGCAGTTGTCACATCATATGTATGTGCAGCGTCGGTTACGGGATACATGTACTTGTGTTTTAATTATCTTTTTTTGGGCTGTGGTGTATGGTGTTGCATTGCAGCAAGAAGGTCCTAAGGTTGATTCCCGACCCAGGGTCTTTTTGTATTGAGTTTGCATGTTCTCCCCATACATGTGTTGGTTCCTTCAGGGTACTCCAGCTTCCTCCCACAGTCCATAAGCATGACTGTTGGGATAATTGGAATCCCTAAGTTGTCTTTAGGTGTGTGTGTTTGTGTGTATGGTTGTGTGTCTCTGTGTTGCCTTGCTACAGACTGGCAACCTGTTCAGGATGTACCCCGCCTTTTTCCCATAAACTACTGGAGAAAGGCACCAGCTCCACCACTACCCTGATAGATGAAGCAAGAAAAGATGAATGATGATTTAAAAGAGAAAATCTATGTAAAAGTGTAATCCTGTCAAAAATGCATATTAGAGTTCATAGGTTTGATATTTATATTCTGGTTTCAAACAATATTCTGACAATTTATATTAACAATTTAATAATCCAGAAAGAACTCTGGTGACCCTGCACATTTACAACATGTGAACTGTTATGATTCATCCTTTCCAGAAAATTGGAACTGAGAATTGTTAGGGAAAGAAATTGAAACTAGGAATCAGAAACAGAGATAAGAATTTAAACAATGGCCAATCCTTTTGATAACCTAGTAAAGTTAACTAATATGAATGGCTGGTCAACTAAAGATTTTTGGGTGTATTCAATGGCAAACTGCAAGAAGAGAGAAATACTCTGAACTGGATCAGTGAGCACAGTTCGAAGCTGTTTATTGACAATGCTCCGATATTTTCTAAGTTT